ATAAAAATATACATATATATTATATATATGAGAGAGATAGATACAGATCTAGATATATAGAATATAGAATATAAATAATATATTATTTATATATTATATAAATAATATAAATATAATAATATAAATAATAAATATAACAATATAAATAATATACTATTTATATTTATTTATAGAATATTTATTTCTAGTTATTTATTTAAAATATAATATAATATAATATAATATAATATAATATAATATAATATAATATAATATAATATAATATATAGTACAATATAATACATAATATAATATAATATAATATAATATATTGTAATTAAGTATGTTATAATAAAATAATATATAATAGAAATAATATACTAATATAATGTTATGAAAATATAATAAAGTATATGATGTTATAATAAAAATAATACAGCTAATATGTAAATAATTTATGACCTAGGAATAATGCGTGTTTATTATGTAACAGGCTAAATAATTCCCATTACCTATGAAAATATTTTGGAGTACTGCTGTTACCTTAGCTGTAATTCAAACACTGAGTATAAAACACCTGGAGGAATCAGGATCTCTGTGCCAGCCCTTCCTTCACCAAACTCAGTTTATCATCCCTGCACCAGTTTCTGGGCTGCAATTATAAATAACAAAGGACAAATTCTCCGTTTCCTAGAGAAAATGGCACCTGATGGTTGTGTTAGGAACACACATTTCCCTGTCTTTTTGGAAAGATACAAATGCATAACTTTCTGTGCTGATACATAACATTTCACGGTGAAATTAACTTTTTTTTTTCCTTTCAATTGCCTGTGAGTGCAGCAAACTGAATTCCCTCAGGCTGGTGAAAAATAGGTCAGCAGTGTCCAGGCTTTTTTATCTTTTCTAAAGATATTCCTCCCTGAAAGGCATCTCCTGGAAAGGCTCACCAAATTCACCATGGATAAATTCAGATTCCTTAAAAATGGCAGTGAAACTTCCACCCAGCTCCCACTGCCCTCCCAGGCACTCTGCAGCGTCCTGGAATACAAAAGGATTGTCTGGGACCCAAAAAACTGGAAATAAATTCTTATTTTCAGTTCACAGGGAAATTCACTGGCCTCAAGCAGATCTTTTAAAGCTCTTTTTTCACAGTAAACCCAACTCAGACTGAAAGGAAACATCACAAAAGTGAACTTAATTCCTGCTAAATTAGTAAATATTTAGTTTTTGCTTTAAATTATGAATAACTTTTTAAACAGTAAACCCACCTTGGACTGAAAGAAAACATAACAACAATAAACTTGATTTATGCTAAATTAGTAAATATTTAGTTTTTGCTTTAAATGATGAATAACTTTTGAAAACAAGCAGATTTTGTGACGAGGTAACTCCAGCAGCTGGGCTGTGTGTGGTTAAAGATGCTCCTGTACCCCTCCAGACCAGCTCCAGGGGCTGCAGAATTGTTTTTCTGTCAACCTATAAATTCTTGAGTAACAACAAAATTATTGTGATTTTTCTTCCTAAATTATTCATATCTCACAAAGTACATAAGCAGGCCCATGAATCACTGAGCATGTAACAATCATATCTAATGGCATTTCTTCTTTTAAGGAAAAAATAAAACCAGGTTTGACTTTGTAATCTTGTTCAAAAATCAGTGTTCTAATCTGATACTTACATTTTAGACTTGAAAGTTCCCTTGATCAGAGTTTTTGTCTGAAGGATTGCTTTTAATCATGTTTTCCACTTTTAATTCTATTAGGATTATTAATATCACTGCAAGAAATAAATTGGGTTTATAATGAATTACAGCAGGGCTCATAAACTGTGCTTAAAGTGATGCAATTACTTTCAAAATCACTCTAAGTTGTTTGTATTCGACTTTTTAGGACTTAAATGCAAAACCAACATCCTATTCTTTTCTAGAAATGAAATAAATCTTTCAAGGAAACTTGCAATATATGAGTGACAATATTTATTTTATATTCCCTGGCTGCAGTGCTGAAGCTGCCACTTGTTCTTAGGTGTATTTAAACTGAAAAATACAACCCAAAATTTAAATAATAACTTCTATTTCCAGAAACAGGGAAAGGAATCAAGACAACTCTCAGAATTATTAACTCACTTTTCTGTAGTGAACATGATTAAGGGGTTACAGCAAAAGCCAATATAAATTAAATGGCCACAGTAAATAATACATGAGGCAAAATCCCCTTTGTTTCAGGAAAAGTTGCTCCAAACCAGAGGCCTAAGGGCATTTAACTATTAAAAAATACCTAAATTTCATTCAATAATAATAACATACATCAGGGAGATCTATAATTATGGTTTGTGAGGAGATTTAGGTCAACACACAAGGTAAGGTGAGGACAGATTTAAATTCTGCCCAAGTCAATGGAAGGTCAGCAGGAGAAAAGCTCTGGATATTGCTCCAGGGAAAGAGAGGGGAGCAGGAAAAGAGCACAAAAACTGATTTTGCAGACAACATGAGAGTACTAATCATAAATAGTATAAATAAATAGTATAAATAGTATAAATCATAAATAATCATAAATATTTAGGAGTTGCAATCCAATCTTTAAATCCAGAATTAATTTACAGTGGGGGAAAAAAAGTTAAGAACTTTGTGTTGAACTGGGTCCACCTGCACGTAGTTCATCACCTGGTGATAAAAAGAGTGAAATTAAATCTACAAATATTTAAATAAAACAAAGGTTTGCATCAGCAGCCCCAAAACTTCAGGAAAACAAACAAACCCACCAATGTTTAAGCACAATTTGGAGACAGCAGCAGCAAAGGGCATTTCTTGGGGTAACTCATTAGCAGCGTGCAGTCTCAGGTGAAACATTTATCAAGCATACAAAAAGGCCTAAAAGTGAAATATAGTAATTAAGAGCTGGGCTTTATCGATTGCAGGGCTTAAGTAATTTTTCAGAAGCCAGGTAAGATTTAATAAGTATAAGTAGTTAAAGATCCTGCCCTGGCTCTGCCATCAGGGTGTAATTGAGGCGCTAAAAAAGATCAGCTGAACGTGTGCTGATTACCACCTTATCTTTGAAAGGCAATTAAGCACCTCAATCATTGCAACAAGATTTGATTGTGCAGCCTTTATTGGACATTGATCTTTCAGCAGAGCAGCTGCATTTCCCATTAAGTGACAGCGGCAGAGTTTAACTGGGACACCCGAGCCCGCTGACCCGGCCCGGCAGCTTCAGGTGCCCGCAAGGATCATTCATATTTAAAGAGGTGCTACAAGGAGGAGCCACCTGATCCTCGGCGTTCCGTTTCTCTGGAGTAGTTAAGGGAGGTGAAACAAAAGCTCTGGGACGTCATCTCTGCCTCATTTAAACATCAGCAAAGAGATAATTAAGGCGAGGCTTGCAGGGGAGCTAAACTTAGTTTTGAATGGGAGGCAGAGCAGATCAAATCTGTCAGAAGTCAAAAGGGTCATCCTGTGGATCAATTACCCCCGAGTGCTGCGGAATTTTTTGAGACAGGGTGGTACAAATCCTCCTGGCCTCCAATATCTTGCATTCAGGCCAAAACCTGAGTGATAAAAAATAGAGGAGTTGGTATTTATAGCAAAACAAGAGTGGAAGTCAGATGAAACATCTCACCTTTGAAAACAAGCGGCTGGGTTTATAGCCACACATGATGAAAATTATTTCATGATTTAATAACGGAAGTTAGCCCTGACAAAGAGCCCATTTTCCCTCTGAAGAAGTGCAGGCCCTCATGAAAGGAACGAGCCATCCCATATCTGCACTCTGCCCTCACACATCTCCCAGTTCATCCTTTAGCACCATCAACTTCCCCAGAGCAAGAGGTCCATTGATTTTCATGTAATACAAGAAAATATTACATTTGCTTAATTGTTACACAGTGAGATCATTGAACAAGAGATCAGGGCTCCATTTAATGCTGCAAGCAGCACGGAATTGCAGCAATCAATAGGGCAGTTTGTCAGGGATGCTCTCCAAGGAGCCCTGCCCATCACTGCAGGCCAGGGGCTGCTGCTGCAGCCATGGGAGAACAGGTAAGCAAAGTCAGCAGTGCCCGTTATCAGAAATCAAAGCAGCTGCAGGGAGGGGAGCTGCAGCTCCAATGAAGAGCTGTATTTATGGCCTGGTAATTAAAAACCATTTTATCAACCTTGTGTTGAGCCTAAACCTTTACAGCCAGGTATTGATGAGCTCTGTGGCAGTGAGTGAGCAGTATTTGACTTTAAACTTATGGGCTGCAGGGAAAATCAGCTCGAGGAAAATGCTAACTGCAATTTTTCTTATTAACGAGGGTCCTGGTAATGCCATCCCTGCTTCTTTGAGGCATTTCACTTGTGGCAAGAATATTCTCCAAAATTTACCAGTGCAAGCACTTCTCTGCTTGAAGTGTTTAGTGCTGCTTTTAGAAAAGCCACGTGTGTTGCTTCATTAAGTGGGAAACACTTCTGTTATCTGGAATGAAGTTAAGAAGTGTTTAAATGACATTAAATGTCATCATAGCTTGATAATCATTTATTGAGGGAAAGTGATTACCCTTCAAAGCAGCCCCTACCCATTTCACATTTCTTTTTTGACTCGTGACAACTGGAATCACCAATTCCATCAGCAGCTGAGGGATTTGGAACTGGCAGCATTAATTCTGGCACTAAATCCCAGCACCAGATCCTGCACAGGTCTCCCTGTTTCCATTAATTCCAGATTTCCACCATCCAAACAATTCCCCAAAAGCTTTTCACTTTTGGCCAGGTTTCCAACTGATATGAAGTCGTTTTGTCATTGTTTGTGCCTAAAGCTGTGCTTGGTTGCAACTGGAGCAATCAGTTATTGAGAATATTGAGATATTCTTGTAGTATTCTTCTCACTCTCCCCATTAATTAAAAGCACCAGCAATTTGTGAATTAGCACAGGGAGCTAAATCTTCTACCTCACTTAGATTTTGTACTTACCTATAAAGCAATCAAAAGAAAAATAACAACACACATCTGGAGCTCAAGAATTGCAAAAGATACAAGCACCAAATGTAGTTTGGACATTTTATTTAAATATCATTTCAAGAAATGTGATACAGCCATTTTGCACTTGTTTTAGGGTGGGATTTTTTCCCCCCAAAGGTTCTTCCAGGTGATGGTGACCACTCAGTGCCAAGGATTTATTCAGACACAGTTACACCTGTGACAATTAATTCAATATGAAATATCTAGACAGGATCTACACCTGAGCAGCTTTATCTTTTCAGGGACATTCTGGAAATGTCAGTGCATTCAGAGTTTCCTTGCTCACAGGCTACAATTCAGTTCTCTAAGTTGATAAATGCATCTCTTTAATAAAATGATCACAAGTTTGTCCAGCAGCACCAGTCCCTGAGCTCCAGACATACCCTCAGAAATTCTAATTCTTCATCCTCACACCTGTGCACAAATAAATCTCTCACAACCAAAAAGTCCAGGCAGCTTCCTGAAACAGCACACTGAGAATGAGAACACAGTATAAAAACCAAATTTTTAGGTGTTTTTAGTCAAAGGCAGCAGATATTTGTAGCACAGAACCCACCAGAGGACAGCTATTCAGTTCAGTACATGGCTCCTTCATCTTCTTTGTTTAGAAAATAAATGGTGACCGGGCCCTGGCTGGTGTGAACAGTCTCTGTGACACGGGCAAAGAACCAGGAGCCAATTCCATACAGCAACGTTGGGATGCCTGAGGAGAGAGAAAAACACACAGAGTGAAATCCTGACTGCACATTCAGAGCGAGGAATGGTGGCTCCAAAACGAACTGACAGGGAAAGTACCTCTGGAAAAGCTGCCTTAGAAATATGTGGTCTTTATTTAAATACAGCCATCAGTGCATCAACACCTCTCCTGCTGGCACGAGGCAGGAAAATGCAGGAATTATTAGAAAAAGAAATCAGGAGGAGAACAACATGAAAGAAGCAAAACATTGCCATGAATACATGATTTCTAGTGATTAAATATATATATTTATCTTCAAATACTAAACCCCAACTCCCAGAATATCCGCTGAAGTTACTGGAATCTATGTCAGAGCAGAAATTTTAAAAATAGGCAGTGAATCCATAGATCAACATGAAGCTGCTCTGGGGAAAGTCAGTCAAAAACTACCAGCTCCAACAGAACTGTAATGGACAAAAAGGTTTATATATATATATATATATTTATATATTTAAAGTGACATGTTTTAGCCTTGCCAATTTATCCATCTATTACAGACAATATTCTATTTATGACAGATGAAGAAACAGAGCTGGATTTAGGCCCTGAGTTCAGAAACACCAAATTTAACATGCTTGAAGCTAAGTGCTTAAGCAGGATTCTGAGGGAAATAAATTGCCTTTTAAATAATGTTTTCCAATCATTTAAGTATGAAACATGAAGGGTAGTTGTGAGAAAAACAAAGGTGTGACTGGGTGGAAGGAAAAAGAAAATCAGATTTAAAGGAGCTATTAAGAAATCAATCTTTGTGATTATATTTTCTCACTACATCAGCCTGGAAAGGTCAGAAAATTAAGAGCAGCAGACACGTTTTGAAAAAGTCACTGAAGGCTTGTGAAATAAAAAAGGAAATTTTAAGAAATTAAATATGAAAATAAAGAATGCATGAAACGTTATGGCACTGGCACTGTCAATGCTGGCATTCAAATAAGCATTGAATCTGCAGCCAAAGTTCTGGAATAACACACTTCAAAACTTAACTACATCTACTTTTATATTAATAAGGGGCTAATAAAGCCTTTTATTACAAGGGCTTCTATTCCAGCAGCACGTTAGGATCCAAGCACTGCCTGCAAGAGTTTCGCTCCAGAATTGCTCAGAGGACAAAGTTCCTCCCGGCACTCGGATTTCAGCTGGAAAACGCTCCCTGCCAAAGGCGAGAGCGGCTGAAACCCCTCCGGCGCGATCCGTGCCTGTCACAGGGCT